GAGGCCTCTCGCGAAGCCGAGGGTGCGGCGGCCCTGAGCCCGAGCGCCTCCGGTTCTCGGTTCTCGCCGCAGCTCCCATAGCGCCCGCACCTCTCTGCGGCTGGGCCCGCAGTCTCCTCCCCCAGGAGCCAGGGGAGAAGTTTGGAAGAGAACAGGCTTTGCGGCAAAGGCGCCCTGTGCGCCAGCACTTCTGGGGTAGATCCCTGCCCTCCACCGGCCCCAGTCCTCACGCGGTCTCCATGGTCTGCAGAGGGAAAAGCATGAAACAATGGATCCCTAGGGACCTGGGGCTCCCTTAGAGGAGAGATCCTCACAAAGAGGGGCACTGCAAGGCTGTGGCTTTGCAAGAAGGTCTCGCCACCAGAATCCACCCAGCTGGGCACTCACTCCTGGCTACTGACCTCACAGGGACACAGGTGGGGGCCATCTGCCCACTCCCACTGAAAGGCTGACCCCTGCCTTTTGTCCTCTCAACTTCATCCTCCTGCTGCAGGCATTGGGATCTCCCCAGGGACAGAGACTGGCCTCCTGACACTGACCAGAAACCACCTTCCCCAAAGGGCACCACTCAGGGCCTGCCCATCCTAACCTTTCTCCACCCCGCAGACAGACCCCTGCCCCATTGTCCAGGGACCAGCAAGGAGGCTGAGCAGCCCCATCCTGTGCTGGGAAACAGAGCAGTGACCTTCAAACGCCCCCTGGGCCCTGCCCCCACTGCACGCAGACTGGCGCCAGGCTCCTCTGAGCAGTGCCCCCGGGCTGGGAGCAGCCCTCCTCCCTGCAGTAGCTGCTGAAAGCAGCCTTCAGAGCTGGGTGCACCTGCAGTGCTGGACCTGCCATCCAGGCTGGTGTGAGGACAGACGCCTCCTCACACACACACTCTCCCAGGTGCCCTTCCTGGGTGGGTCGGCCCTACAGGGTGCTGGGGAGGGGGATGAAGATGGTCTCTGGGCAAGGTCTTGTCAGGGCGCCTGTGACTCTGCACTCTCCCCTAGGTAGAAGACGCCTGCCCCACTTGAATGTGAGATCCAGGAGTGGTCCCAAGGAATCAAGCCATCACCATGGAGTTTGTGATGAAACAGGCCCTGGGAGGTAAGAGGTGGGACAGGCAGGGAGGGGGCTGTGGGACGGGGCCACCAGGGAGGGGACTGGCAGACACAGGGCACCCAGAGATGTGTCCCCCAGCTGGCACAGACAGCAGGGCCCCACGGCCACCTCAGACTTCACACAGGCCAAGGCAGCATCCTCGTGCCAGCCCCTCTGAGCCTCCTGGGCAGCCTTGGGGGACTGGAGATGGAGGAAGGCTCTGTTGTACCATGCTGCCCCTGGCATGGTAGGACAGAGCCTCTGAAGGGCTGAGCAGCTGCACCCCCACTTGGGGAAGCAGCACCCAAAGGTAGGCTTGGAGTTGGTCCTGTAGCAGAGCCTCAGGAAGCCAAGGAGAGGTGTGGGGTCTGCCTGCTGTGGGGTTGGGCTCCATGGTTTCATGCAGATAGGGAGCCATACCGTCCTCACAGAGGCATGGCTAACTGGACACAGGAACAGATAGGACAGCTCTGTGTATGTTGGAAGGGCAGGCTCCTGCAGCCTGCAGAGTGCTGTTTGAAGGAGCCCTGTCCCCATTGGCCCAGGGCCATCACTGTGGCCAGAGGCTGACTGGACTGAAAGCTGCTAGAAGATAGTGGGCTAAGTCCCTGACTGGGGTGCCAGGGCAGTGGACAGAGGGTCTGGTCCACGTTGGCACAGGTGTACTTGGTCAGGACTGTTGAGTCAGCTCAGGCCCACAGAGTCTTGGGACTATCCTGATTGGGTCTCAAGTCCACCCGCAGCTGTCCACTCTTGGCACCTCAGCTCCCTTGGTGCCCAGAGCTCCCTGTGAGAGGAGCATGTGGCCAGTGCCCAGTTCTCCCACTCCCTTGGTGGCCTGCGTGGGGTACATCCTGGCCCTGTGTGGCTTCCAGCTGGGTTTTGGGCTGCGGGGGGAGGGGTTGAGAGCTGCAGTGCCCAGGAGGAGGAGGCTGGGGCAGTGCCACGCAGGGCACCTCCTGGAGGCAAGAGCACTTCTGCCCAGACATTGTATGTCAGCCTGGCCCGTGCTGAGGGTGCACGGCTGAGGCAGGCTGAGGTTGAGTCTGATTATAACCACCATGTCACCAGATGTGATTCAGGGACAGGCTGGCACCCTGCATCGGGAGGGACCCGGGCTCCACCAGCCTATCCCAGGCTGTCACAGATAATTAATTAGGTGGCTAATTCAGGCCTGAGGTGGGCTTTTAGGGAAACAGAGCCGTCTGACTTGCTGTCTGTGAGGCTGGAATTAGCGGGTAATTGCCAGCCGGGAGTCCCTCTTTGTTCCATGTAAGCCCAAAGTTTTTCCTGCAGTGGTGCCAGGGCGGGCTGTGCCACCTCCGTGGGAGCCCTGGGGGTGGCCAGTGGGCGTGCGTTGGGCTGCGGCCCCATGCTGGGTGCCAGGCGCAAGGTGCAGAGAACTCTGGGTTTGTTCTGTGTTCCTGCTGTGGAGACTGCAGTGGCCAGCGCTGGGCGGGGCTAGCAGGCGAGGCTCTCTGGCAACCTGTCTTGGCTCCAAGCTCTTCTTTCCCTGCGGGCTTCACTTTGGGTTCAGAGTGCATGTGAGCAAGATAGAGACACAGACTGGGATGGATGGAGGAAGGAGGACAGCTCCACAATGAAGGTCAGAGGTCGGCAGAGACCCCAAGGGACAGACCAAGCCCCAGACCCAGAGAAACCGGCAGGTGGGAGAGCAGGAGAGGCCCAGGAAACCACCAGAGAGCCAGGGACAAGAAAGGAAAGAAAAGAGCAGCCCAGAAACAGAGATCAAGGAACAGAAAGAGAAATGCACTCAGGATGCAGGGGGACAGACGGAATGGAGCTGCCGAGATTGAGACTTTCAAGCTGAGAAGCAGAGTAGGGCAGGACCACACAGAGGCTCACGCAGGAGGTGCCTGTGGGAGACTTTGGGTCCTGGTGACCTGCTGCAGACAGGCCTCACTGCCATGCTGCCTAATTCAATCTTTCTTCTCTTCCTGCAAGCTATGTCCTTTGTGAGGAGGGAGTGGCCTGGGGACATATGTCTCAGGGTCTTGTCTGCTCTGTCCCTGAGTCTCAGGCAAGGCTCTTGTGGGGACAGAAGGTGCAGGGCAGCAACTGAGGTCTCAGGCCACAGGCTCTGCATGTATGAGGCCCTCTCTGTTGGTCTGTCCCCTCTGGGACACCAGGTCCAGGATGGCATGTCCTGTTGCAACGCAGGGCCCTAGATGGGGGAGAAATGGACTCTGGATCGGGCTGGGCCATGGACACACAGTGCCCCTCGTTTCCAGGGAGACCCAGCCCTTCACACACCCCTGAGCTGGTGGATGTGTCCAGGGCAGGCTGCAGCCTGTGCAGCCGTCCAGCTGGTGGGCCTGCAGGGTGTGGGAAAGGGCCTGGCCAGCAGTGCCTCCTCCAGCCCAGGCCCGTTCCCTGGTCAGCTGCCACAGAGCTGGTGCCATGTCTGCCAAGCTCAGCCTGGCAGGCCTCTCCCACCCTCCTTTCCACCCAGCCCGACGGCCCAGTTACCGTCCCTGGCCTCGCCACGTCCTGTGACCTCTGCACCATGGTTCCTGCACACACAGCCACCAGTGTCTCCTGCACTGCATTCTCATGGCCCCCGATGTGCCTTCCCCACCTGTCACCACCAAGGTGCCCTGAGGGAGCAGCTGACTCCAAGGCCCCTCTAGTCCACGTCCCCAGAACTGGGCAGTCCTGTGCCCCTCGGGGCTCACAGTGTGCTATGGGTTGACACCTGCTACCCTGAAGGCCACAGCTTAGGGGCAGTGCTGCCTGGTATGCCTGACCACACTGCCAGCCTGGCCATTGTGGGCACCCTGGGATCCTGTGCCCATGGCCAGGCAGGGCTGGGAGGAGAGTTCTCTTGGGACCAAACTGGGGCACTTGGCATCCAGCTTGAGGCTGTTGCTTCTCATAGGAGAACGTCCTTGTGCCTCAGCAGGCCTTGGACCCCGCAGGTGCATCATGGCCGTGATTCAGGCCTCTGCCACCCTCTGTGGGGACAGGCCACCTCCTGTGGTTTTGCCCCCTCTGGGACTCCAGGTCCAGGATGGCATGTCCTGTTGCAGGTGGCCAGGTGCTCTGGCCACATCTGTGAGGACCTGGGGCTGGCTCCTGAGCCACAGGGCACACATGCCTGGAGGTGGCCTGGGCTCCGGGCTGTGTTTCACCAGGGGGAGAGTGGGCATTGGGGTGGTGGCCCAGATGATCTCGTTCTCCCATGCCACCTCCTCGGGAGTGGTGCAGGGACGTGGAGCCCTGGGGGTGAGAGATGGCACAGGGGTGTGAGCATGTGTAAGTGCCAGGACCTCAGGGGCCAGGGCAGGCTGGACAGTGCTAGCCCACACTGTCCAGGCAGCTCCAGGACCCCCCAGCATGGTCATTGTGGACAATGTCCTATGGGGAGTCT